TATTGTCCAGACAACTAAAGTTGTGAGCGGCTGGCACGATTTAAAGTTCGCTAATTTCTTTTCAGTGGCAGTGTATTATGGCTGAAGCATATGAAGAGGAGTTGTCAGTAGAGAGAGCAGGCTTTCACATATCTGGACACTGCATTGAAGGTTGTGATAGAAGAGTTGGAAGGGAGAAGAGGTGCTCTGTGCCCACAGGGGGACAAGAAACCTGCCAAACAAATGGTCAAAAGGCATCGTAAGGAGATAGTCATCAAGGCCAATGTCGGGTGTCTAACCTTAGATGTAATGCTGCAAGAAATTCAATTACATCAGAAAAACAGTCAAGGTTAATTAATGGATCTTAATGCTATATCCCATCAACTAACTCTCAACCAATGCACATTTCTATCTTCACCTCACCATCACACACATTGCAATGCTCACGCCCACATCTTAGGTTCACACACTGCGAACTGCCAAAAGGAGATGTGATGGCCTAGTGGTATTATTGCATGACTGTTAATCCAGAGACCCTCGTAATGTTCTGGGGATTCAGGTTCGAATCCTGCCATGGCAGATGGTGGAATTTTAATTCAATAAATATCTGGAAATAAAGTCTAATGACCCATGAAACTATTGTCGATTGTCAGAACTATTGTTCACAAATGCTCTTCAGGGAAGGAGTCTGCCAACCTTATCTGGTCTGGCCTACGTGTGACTATTCAATTATAAAAGCCACACATTTTCAACAACAAAAAAGTGATGGCGCAGTCCTAAAACCATCGGTGGATTTCACACTTGACAGGCAACAGCCCAAACACTCTAAGTAACTTAGAGGATACGTTTGCAGTGAAATCTGGATATGGTGACATACTAGGCATGCTTAGGCTACAGCTGCAACAGTTTGCAGGGGTTTTGTGTGTCCTTGGAAAAATCAAGATATCTCAAAGATTGCACTGCAGAGCACTTAGGTGAAGATTTCAATAAGGGCAGCTAACAAAGCAAAAGCTGAGAGATGTCAATTACTAAATGCATGGTGCATTGGGAAGCTTCCCAGAGACCCTGCAGGCCATTTCAAGAAGTCTGGAAGGATCTATTTTGTGCACTTTTGGGCAGTTCAGACTGCTGACATCAGAGCAGGTGACACTTGCAGTGTCACTGCAATACTGCAGTGTCATTCATCAGATTACTATGATATGGTGCAAATCAGTGACTCCATGGAGTATAAACTTTCTGTCCTCTCTCAGGAAAACAAAGTGGCCTTGTTGTTGACTTCAGCTAACTGGTCTAAATTGCTTCTGCCAGTCCAAGATGACACCAGATGCAGCTAGGTGTTCTGTGCCCTACGTTTTTCATTATCACATTTCAAAGCTTTCTCCAGGCCTCCCTATTGAGCGTCAGGAGCCTTCTACCAGTCATACTTCATCTTTTGTGATGACCGTTAAGAAAATGCACAAAGCTGATTAGTTGACTTTTGCATACAATATTACATGATGTGAGTTTTATTTTCCAAACCAAATATTTATTTTGAGTTGAGTTTGATTTTGGTTTATGGCAAGTGGACATCACAATGGTCAGTGACAGAAGGAAAGTAGGAGTTGGTGTTGAAACAATGGTATTATACTCTGATGAATTCTTCAGGCACAGGAAGGGGTGACTACATTATTTTCTGCCAAATTCTCTTCTACCTTCTGCTACTCCTTAGCTGCTTGCCATATAGCTGATGGCAAAAGGGCTGAGTACTTAGGCCGCATGAAATGGATCAACATGAAAACTTGACACCCAATCTGCTGTGTCATGCAGGGTACCTCTGGAGCATTCCAAGCAGCAGATGGATTGTTTCAGCAAGCCGGAGGTCTGTTCTATCACATTTCTTATGGCAGAATGGCTTTCATTATCAGCACACTGTGCATATGTGCACGGATTGTCCGCTGGAGTCAACTGCTATCTTGTCAGTGACGAGGTAGACAAACAGGAGTCTGGAAGAACACAGCAGGCCAGGCAGCATCTGGAACAAAGAAGCAGTCAACGTTTCGGGTATTACCCTTCTTCAGGAATGGATGCGGGGTTAGGGGGAGCTGCAGGTAAAGTGGGGGGTGGGAGGGCGGTGGTCGTGGGGGGCAGGGGTTGGAGGCACACTGGCAGTGATAGGTGGACACTGGTGGCAGGGACGACCTGGTTGGTTGATGTGAGGGATGAATCCGGTTGGTGGCTGGAAGGGAGGGCCACCATCTCCGCCTCCACCCCTCTGTGCCCCCCACCCCCTCCCCACTTTATCTGCAGCTCCCTATCCCCACATCCAGTACTGAACAAAATACCAGAAACATTGACTGCTCCTTTCATCCAGATGCAGCCTGGCCTGCTGTGCTTTTGCAGCCTCCTGTTTGTCTACCTTGAATTCCAGCATCTGTAGTTTTTTTTTGCCTCTTGCCAGTGAGGAGCCCTTGTTGCCTACTAGCCACTCTTTGGTTTGTCATGGTGGCTTAAAAACAGCTGGCACCAAGGACTGCTGTGGAAGGAAGGTATTCATACTTGCTGCCAGGATACATTAGGCTTTGATTCAGCCTCTGTGTTCTACATAAAAGCTGCACTTTGAGGGACTGGAATCCCTTTTGGTTCCAAAATAGAGCATAGTTGGTGTGCATTACCCGCAAAGTGACACGCAGGCAGTGATTGATACAATACACCGTAGGTAAGCTTGCAGTCTTCACAGAGCCACATGCTCACTCCTTCTGCTTGCAGTTGGTGTTTTTAAAATAGAGAACCAAAGTGACCTCCTCACTCGAGTGTGAACAATAAACTTTCAAGATGCTGCAAGCATCTCCAGCTTCAACCAGGAAAGAGCCAGATTTATAGAGGTCCATTGCTTCAGTCACCTTCACAGACTTTGGTAATTAGGTCCTCACCTTGCTGTGAGGTTGCATTTGTGGCTTCAGCTAGTTGCACATGGAGACATTCTTAATTGAGGTCCAGATTTGTCATTATTTGTTCTTTCCTGATGGAGGAAAATTGCTGCCAAGCTTAGCAATACCACATCCTAATGAGGACTCTTCTCCCATTCTTGGAGCCTCTTGTCTTGCTTTTGGTAATGTCTGTTAATTTTCCAAATCACGCTGTATTCTGACGTCAGTGGTTACTGGTGTAGTTGTACCTGAAATTGATTTGTGTAGACACATTGAAATCAGCAAGAAGTCCTCCTCCACCCACCATGTCATTCTGTACAGAGAATGCAACTTGAAAGAGCTGTAGAACGTACCAAGTACTTAGCGAATAATAGCAATAGTCAGAATAAATGAACCAACACCAACATATAAAAAATTGATCCTCCTGAAAATGTTTCTTGTGGCAGGGTAGTGCTGGGAGGCGTGGTCTAATTCCTTCTGCTGAATGCACATTTGAAATGTACAAGAATAAAACTTTGCAACTTTGAACTTTTAAGATAGCAGCACATTCTCAAATGAGTGTGCTGGTTGATGTCACGACTTGCTTGCTGCGCATACTTCCAACAGATATTTACTGCAAGCGTGCTAACTCCTGTTTCAACAGACTGTCCGGGCAGTTCAGCTCACAAGTGCACACAGGTGCCCTAGGTGCCTTTTTGGAATTGCAAAGGCACTCGGTACAGAAATTTCAGGTGGCAACAGGCATAGTTTTTCATTTTAATAAAGGATCATGTAAAGTGAGAATTAATAGTAATAATCATTTGAATTGTTGTCACTAATTTTTACCAAGTCCTGTAAATTTGACTTGCAGATTCTGAATTTACTGTTTCTGTAAAATGTTACTAACTTCTTACTAAACAACCCCTTCTAATTTTATAGCTGCCTTCACATGAAGTAAGATGTTCCAGTGAGGTATATAAATCAAAAGAACGATGTTTCAATGCCCAAGTAGTAGAGAGAAAAAGCAAAGTGGAGAGTGTCCTTGTGCTGTACCAAACATATATTGAAAAGAAGAGTTTTGAGGAGTTTATTGAGCAGTGGGGAGGAAGGCACAAAAATAGAAAAACTAGGAAGATAGTTTCTGAGTGCCAATGTGTAATGGCTGAGCAAGTGGCTAACTGCTCAAACATAGGGTGCAAAGGATACATGGTCATTTAGTGTTAATAGGGAGAAAAGAAAGTTGTTTAACAGAACTTAAAACAAGAAAAAAAACGCACAAAATTAGAGAGGAGTGAGCCAATTGATTTTGAAGCTGATAGGAATGCAGGTAAGGATACAAGCTGCAGCTTTTGGGATGATTTGAATAATGTAGAGGATTAAAACTTAAAGGTCAGTTGCGAGACCAGAGGAGAGATCGAACTACGTGATGATCAAGGACTGGGCTAAGAATTAGAAATGGAAGCAGGCAATGTTGTAGAAGTGCAATAAAGACATGCATTTATATAACACTTCTGATGTCTTCAAAATATCCCAAATTGCTTATCAGAATTAATTACTTTTTGAAGAGTAGTTACTGTTGTTTTGTAGAATAACAAGCAAATTTGTCCACAGTAAATTCTCACAAACAGCAATGAAATGAATGTTGTAAGGATTTGTTTGGTTGTGTCGAGTAAGGAGGATTGTTGGGCAGGACACAGGTAAAATTTCCATTTGTCAAAGTGCCCAGGCAGTTTTTATATTCATCTGGACAGCCAAGCATGGTCTCTATTTACATCTCATCTCAAATATGCTACCTCTCAATGCAGTCCTTCATCAGTACCACACTGAAGTGTCAAACTAAATTAAAGTGTTCAGCTGCTGATATTGGACTGGTACCCACAATCGATTGACAATTGGCCAGATCATAGGGGACTCTGATCAATATTTATCTGCCAACAAACATTACTAATACAGCTTATCACATTGCTGTTTGTCAGATCTTACTCTGCGCAAATTAGCACATGTTTTCTACATTAATACAGTAACTACAAGTCAAAAGTACTTTTAATTTGCTGAAAAGTACTTTGGAATGTCCTGAGGTCATGATAAGTGCTGTATAACTGCAAATGTTTATATTTTTTTTCTTTTCTAACTCAGGCAGGGATGCTACCACTGAACCAAGCTGATACTTTGAAGAAAGTGGAAGTGGACACTTGGAAGAAAGCTGTTTTGGTAATGGTGTAGTTGTGGGGAAGGGGATATGAGCTTAGGGTCAAATAGTTTGTCAATTTCCCACATTTTCTGAAAGCCCAATCTTGTGGTCAGAGTGCTGATGTAGTCAAGGACAGAGATAAATGGGTGCTAGTAGGATCCACAAAAAATAATCGTACTGTATTTTGCTGGTATTAAGCTGGAAGAAATGTTGTCTTATTAAGTTCTTGATGTCAGGCAGCTATCTCAATTGTATTGGGACTTGAGGCAGAAAGTTAGGGCTGGGTATCCTCAACATAAATGTAGAAGCTAACCCATGCTTGTGTAGCTGACAAAGAATAAGAGACTATGAGTGCATCTCTGGAGATGAATGTGTAATTACAGGGGAACAAAGTCATTGAAGGCAGAGTTGTGGTTGGGTTGAAACAGGCATAAGCACATGAGTGTGATTGGTGAATTTAGCTAAAGAAAGACAGGAGGATAGAATAATCATTGGTGGAAAGGATTTAAATTAACAGGTCTATGGAATTGTAGGTGTCACCAAACATTGCTTGTGACTTTGACTAGTTAAGTAGCTGTGATGAAAACCACATTCAAAGGATTTTAAGAATAAATGGGAGAAATTATGGTGTTGCTGTGAGACAATAAGTTAGCCTGTAATTTTTTAAAGAAAGGAATGGTTGAATTTCCAGTGGCATCTGGAGAATTGTAAATTTAAATAATAGACTTTTTAGGAAGTTAATAACAGCAGCCTTTATAGAAATATAAAACAGTTATAGAACGGTAGAAATTCATTCATCCTGCCTTACCCCTACCAGCTGTGTGGTAGAACTACTCAGCTGGGCCCTCTCCATTGTCCTTTACCTTTGACCCTGCACTTTTTTTTCCTCCTCAGAGAATTTATCCTATTCCCTGTTGAAAACCACAATTGAATCCGATGCTACTAGCTCCCATGCAAAGCATTTCAGAATCTAATCACCTGTGTAAAAAAAACTGTTGCTTCTTTTGCCAATCTTTAAATTATCATTCTGCTTCTGGACGCTTCCACTGTTGGGAACAGTTTCTTCCCATATACTCTGTTCAGACGTGATATGGACCCCTCTATCATTTCTCCTCTGAACCGTCTCTTCTTTAAGGAGAACCACCCAGACTATCTTTTGTTAAATATGAAGCCTGTCATCCTTTGAGCTTCTCTAATGACTTTTTTCCTGCACTCACTCCAATGCCTTCATGTCCTTTCTAAAGTGTGGTGTCAGAATTGGTTGCTGTAATGCAGTTGAAGCTGAACCAGTCTTTTTGTGAACATTCACCATAATGTTTTGCTTTTGCACTCCATGTGATTATTTATAACGTCCATCCTCCCATTAGGCCTATTGATTGTTTATAGTGAGATTGGTGGCCTCTGCAAGCATGTTGCTGAGGAAGTGATCACGTCAGAAGAGTGTTTATGGTTTAGCTGATAGGCTTTGTGGGCAGACAGAGACTAATGGTATAGAAAGGACAGAGAATGGGAATTGCTAAGCTTGAAATTGAATAATAAGGGATATGGAGGGGGAGAAAGAAAAGGTAGAGTTGCCTTATAGATGGACACAATTTTGGTCAGCACAGAAATAGGCCTTTTGGCCCAACTCGTCCATGCCAACCATGTTTCCTAATGTGAACTAGTCTCATTTTCCTGCATTTGGCCCATATCCCTCTAAACCTTTTGCTATCCCTGTACTTATCCAAATGTCTTTTAAATAAATACCCAACTCTACCACTTCCTCTGGCAGCGTGATCCATGTACTCACCACCTTCTGTGTGAAAAAGTTGCATCTCAAGTCCCTTTTAAATCTTTTCCCCTCTCATTTTAAATCTATGCTCTGTAGTCATTGACTGCCCCACCCTGGGGAAAAGACCTTGACTATTCACTTTACCTATGCCCCTCATGATTTTTATTATCCTCTCTAAGGTTACCCTCAGTCTCCCACCCTGCAGGAAAATAGTCCCAGTCTATCCAGCCTCTCCTTATAACTCAAACCTTCCAGTCTCAGTAACCTTTTTGCACCCTTTCCAGTTTAATAATACCCTTCCTGTAGCAGGGTGACCAGAATTGTACTCAGTACTCCAAATGTTGCATGCTTTGTGTTCAGAGTCTTACAGGTTTATTGAGTAGTCTCAGGAACATGGTTGTTTTCTATTAGGCAATGGTTGTATCACACAGCATTGTACAGAAGTCATAGGAGATTAGTTCAACAATACACTTATAATTTTATTTCCCTCTGGCCCTCATGGTGGACACCATCTTGGGAAGCATGACCTGAGACTCTGAGCCACCTATCACATTCAATGACTTTAGCAAACAGACATACTTAAGGAGGTGATTTCAAGCCACCTGATTCCTGTTTTATTTTTGTAACTTATTTTGATCTAAAACTTTTAATGTTTTAAAAGAAGAATATAATTTACAAGTGAGCTGAACTGGGAGAAGTATGTTTTCTTAGGAAGGATCTGAATGCTGGATAGTTATCTGTAACAGTACCACAGAAGGTCCTTGAGTGATAAAATAATTTTATGGTTATATAGTTTGATAAAATGTCATCGCAAGGAATCTTTACAAGAATATCAGGATTTATAAAGTGTAGACTTTATGATTTAGCTAAAGAGTAAGAATGTTATTATTTTGTGAGACATATAAACATATGCCTTGCCTTCATTTTCATGATGTCAAAAGATTGGACTCTGATTCTTTCTATGGTATCCGAATCAATGACAGTCACATTGGACATTTCGCTTCACCTTGCACACCTTTAATGTTTGTCTTTCATAGGCCAGTAAACCAACCAATTTAAGTATTTATTGTGATTAATCAACTGTGCCAGCCCCAATGTGGTAGTTATATTCAAATTGTATGTTCAAAGTAGTCTTATAACAATATTTTCACATTTATTTTCAGCTTCAGTGGTTATTGGACAACTATGAGACAGCAGAAGGTGTCAGCCTTCCTAGAAGTACTCTTTACAACCACTATCTGCGTCATTGTCAGGAACAGAAGCTTGATCCAGTCAATGCAGCTTCTTTTGGAAAACTCATTCGTTCCATTTTCATGGGTCTGCGCACTAGGCGTTTAGGCACAAGGTTAGCTATTTATCAGACTGAATCCTGATTTCCAAAGATTATTGCAGTGATTCATTTCACATTTTTTTTTTATTTTGAAACATTTTTTTCTCTCTCAGGGGAAACTCTAAATATCACTATTATGGCATCCGAATTAAACCAGACTCCCCACTAAATCGCTTACAGGAGGACATGCAGTATATGGCTATGAGACAACAACCAATGCATCAAAAACAGAGGTAACAGAGCTTTAAGTGGCTGTAAATATGCACACCTCTAACTTTGTTACATTCCAAGAGTGAGCATTAATGTTTAAAGAGAAAATCAAGCACCCAGTGATCAACTGAAAGAAATCATATCACAAGATTCCATGGATGAAAACAAATAAGTTTTACTATATTGGAAACAAGTGAAGGAAAAAATACTAAATCAACACAATCTTAGATTAATGCTTGTACTTTTTAATGTAAAGCATAATAAAATGCAATAACGTATACTACAGAACAACTGAACCTCACCTTATTCCTTATAAATTCCACCCCCAAAGTCTTTGGTTACTTGTCAGATTCTTGATACTTTGCTTACTGTACCAAACCAAAGTGCCACAGCTCTCAGGAGTTCACTCTGTCACCAGTATTCGAGCTATTCTTCATGGTATGAAATTATGTGAGCACCCTTCCATTATTTTTGGTGATCCTTAAATATATCTTGAGAACCTCATGACTGTGGACTTCTCAACTCAAGCTTGAGCCTAACTGTTGCTTGGTGCTCCACCACAGAAGTACTGCTTTTTTCTTTTTCCCGTATGCTTTTGGTCTACAGTTATTTTCAACTCTGCAGAGTTTTTGTTTCTGCATGCTGAACTCGGGATTTACACACACCAACTTGGGGCTCTTGAAGCAAAATTGTAGTGTCCTGTCTCTGAGGCAAGAGGTCCAGGTTGAAATCCCACCTGGCCTGGCAGTCTTTAGTAACATGTCTAAGGGCTCTTGAAGTGCACTGGTAGTGTCCCTATCTCTGGGTCTTGAAGGTGTGTTCGAGTCCCACCTGTTCCAGAGGTGTGTTATAATATATCTAACCAGGTTGATTAAAAATGTCTAGATCCACCAACTTGGGTGCATTCAGCTCAAACCTAAAAGTCTTTCCGACCAAATCTGAGACAACTTCCCCAAATCCAACCAAGACTGCACCCTGAATTGCCCACCTCTGACAATAAAGGCTAGTTTTCTGAGCAATGCTAATTTCCCATTAGCTGCACTAAAAAAGACATTTCATCCTTAACCTCCCTGTGGTTTTAGGGCCTTGGGTTTTCTCATTGATTACACATTAAATTTTGCCTTATAAAGCTAAGTTTTGCCATTATTGTCTTAAATTATGTTTCCTAATTTTAATATCGCAAACAATTCTCCTGGTATCCATTCTATACAGTCCCCTCAAGATTTTATGTGTTTCAACAAATTCACCTCTCATTCTTCTGATCTTCAATGGACATATGCCTAAACTTTCTTCATGAGTCAAATGAACCTTCTCTGAGCTCTTTCTAAAGCAATTAATCTTTTTTTTCAAATAAGACGACCAAACTGCACACAGTATTAGTGATGTAGTCTCAGTAACATCCTGTACAACTGCCATAACTACCCTACTTCTATATCCCATTCCCCTTGCAATAGGCAAAAACACTCCATTTGCATTCATCATCACTTTCTGTACCTTTATTTGATACACTTTACACTTATATTGTTTTATATGATACTTGTACCTGGACACCAACTAAATCCTGTATCTCTCCATTTAAAAGCTGTATTGCTTTTGTGTTCTTCCCAAAATGGTTACCTTCACATTTACCCACATTATATTCCATCTGCCAATTTTTTTTGTCCACTTACGTAACCTGTCTCTATATCCCTTTGCAGAGTATCTTCCACCTCTTAACAACTTGCTCTCCTACTTGTCAGCAAAGTTAGCTATCGTATATTTGTTTCTTACATCCAAATTATTGGTGCAGATTGTAAATAGTTGAGGATTCAGCACTGATCCCTGTGGCACTTTGCTAGTTACAATTTGCCAACCCAGAAAAGACCCATTTATCCCTATTCTCAATTTCCTGTAAGCTAACCAATTCTTTAACCATGCCAATATGTTACTCTGTATACCATATGCTCTTGTCTTATGCAGCAACCTTTGATATGGTGCCTTATTAAATACCTTTCTGAAATCTAAGTACAGTACAAGCTACCAAATCCCTTCTAACTACAGTGAACATTACTTCATCCAAAAACTCTATTACCATGTTGGCCATGCCTGATCACGTGGTGAGTTTCTAAGTCTCTTGCTATAACTTCCCTAATAATGAATTCCAGCATGTTCCTTATGACAGATGTCATGATAACTGCCTATGACTTTCCTGCTTTCTGCCTCCTTCCATTCTTGAATAAAAATATTACATTTGCTACTTTCCAAACCACGTCCCTTCCCGAATCCATGCACTTTTATAAGATTATAACTAATGCATCTGCTGTTTATGCTGCCACTTCTTTTAAGCCTTTAAGAAACAGGCCATAAAGTCATACGGACTTGTCCGCCTTTAGGTTCAATATATTTCCCAGCAACCTTTCTCGACTATAGTGTTTTAAACTCGCCTCTTAACTTTCCAATGATATTTGAAAATCATAAAGATCGCCACAAAATATCTGTTCTTAGCCTCCGCTATTTCTTTGTTTTCAATTATCAATTTCTGAGAGAGAGAGAGTGAATCGGTACTAACTTCAGTTACTACAGCGTGGAGGTGGAGGTACACAGCAGGCCAGGCAGCATCAAAGGAGCAGGAAAGCTGACATTTCGGGTCAGGACTCTTTTTTTTTTCCTGAAGAAGGGTCCCGACCCGAAACGTCAACTTTCCTGTTCCTCTGACGATGCCTGGCCTGCTGTGTTCCTCCAGCTCCACACTGTGTTATCTCTGACTCCAGCATCAGCAGTTCTTACTATCTCTAACTTCAGTTACTCTTTTCTTCTATTCAAATACTTGTAGAAACTCTTATTATCCGTTTTTTTTTATTACTAGCTAGATTTGCCTCATATATTCTGCTTTCTATCTCTTTATTTCTTATTTTCTACTGGTTCTTAAAGTCCAATACTCTGACTTGCCACTACTCTTGGCAGATATGTAGAGTGTTTATTCTGATTAATATTGCGCTTAACTTTCTTATTTAGCCATGAATGAAGCAACATTCTCAAACAGATTGTTGTATGATAGTAGCACTCCTTTTAAAAAAGCATCTATCTTTAGCTGGTACAGAAGATCATGGATGATCTAAATGTGATTGCAAAGCAGCTGTTTAATCCAGTGAATTCAGGTGGCATCAGAAGCTGCCCATTGGGTTATATGTATCCGAATTTCATCATTATAGTATAGCTTTTAATCATTCTGAGCATAATTTATTTGTATTTTAATATAATTTTATACAGGCTTGTTTCTGTGCTGTACGGTGTTTCTGCTCAATTTTCTCATTTAAATTTTTCCCTGCCATATGCCTGACTAGTTTCCCCATAACTGCATCAAGCTGATGGTGTCATAGTAATACCACTGGACACTCAATCAAGAACTCCAGGCTAATGCTTTGTGGGCATGCATTCAAGTCCCACTATAGCATTTGTATTCAATTAATGAAAATGTGGAATCAAAAGCTAATCTTGGTAATCGTGACTGTGAAGCTACCATTTTTTTTTTGTTGTTATAAGCCTATCAGGTTCATTAATGTCTTTTAAAGAAGTAAATCTGCCACAACAATTTGGTTGCCTTTTAATTGCCTTCTGAAATGGCTTAGCAAGCCACTAAGTTCAAGGGTGATTAGCGATGGGTGACATCACCTTGCCAGTGACATCTATAAAGCATGAAATTAAAAATGCTAACCTTAAGTTCACATGGACCGTCTCCGATACCTCTCTGTCCTTCCTGAATCTCTCTGTTTCCATCTCTGGCAACCACCTGGAAACTGATATCCATTTCAAGCCCACTGACTCCCACAGCTACCTAGAATACACCTCCTCTCACCCACCTTCCTGCAAAAATGCCATCCCCTATTCCCAATTCCTTTGGCTCCGCCGCACCTACTCCCGAGATGAGGCATTCCACTCCCGGACATCCCAGATGTCCTCGTATTTCAAGGACCGCAACTTCCCCTCCGCAGTGATTGAAACTGCCCTCGACCGTGTCTCTCGCATTTCCCGCAACTCATCCCTCACTCCCCCTCCCCGCAAAAACAACCAAAACAGAATCCCCCTCGTCCTCGTGTACCTCCCCACCAACCTCCGGATCCAACGCATCATCCTCCGGCACTTCCGCCATCTGCAATCTGACCCCACCCTTATCTGCTTTCCAGAGGGACCACTCTCTCCGTGACTCCCTTGTCTGCTCCACACTCCCCACCAGCCCCGGCACTTTTCCCTGCAACCAAAGGAAGTGCTACACCTCACCCCCATCCCAGGCCCCAAGAAGACCTTCCACGTCAAACAGATGTTCACCTGCACGTCTGCTAATGCGGTATACTGTGTCCGCTGTTCCCGATGTGGCCTCCTCTACATCGGGGAAACCAAGCAGAGGCTTGGGGACTGCTTTGCGGAACACCTACGCTCGGTTCGCGACAAACGACTGCACCTCCCAGTCGCGAACCATTTCAACTCCCCCTCCCATTCCTTGGGCAACATATCTATCGTGGGCCTCCTGCAGTGCCACAACGATGCCACCCGAAGGTTGCAGGAACAGCACCTCATATTCCGCTTGGGAACCCTGCAGCCCAATGGTATCAACTTGGACTTAACAAGCTTCAAAATCTCCCCTCCCCCTACCGCATCACAAAACCACCCCAGCTCGTCCCCGCCTCCCTAACCTGTTCTTCCTCCCACCTATCCCCTCCTCCCACCTCAAGCCCCACCCCCATC